ACACCCGGTCCCCTCGCACACCCAGGTCCCCTCGCACACCCAGGTCCCCTCGCACACCCGGTCCCCTCGCACACCCAGATCCCCTCGCACACCGGGTCCCCTCGCACACCCGGTCCCCTCGCACACCTGGCGCAGGGAGCTGGCCAAGCCCTCGGTGCGCCTGCCGGCTGCGTGCAGACCTGAGGGGCCACGGCAACAGCCCCCGGCGCTCTCGGGGAACGGACCGGGCTGCGGACTACACGGAGCTTCAAAAAGGGAAACAGGAGGAGCATCCTTCCTTCTCCCTCACCCAGCCGCACCCTGACTCCGGGTGAGGGCCCGAGACACGGCTCCCCGCACCTGAGCGTCAGTCACAGACGCTGCCGCGTTCACACGGAGGCGGGACCTGCCGCCCTTGGGAGATGACAGCCTGCTCTCTGCAGAACGGCTGACCGTCCCCCTGAGGTCTGCCCGCATCACCCCCCGAGGCTGGGGTCAGGGGTCACTGTGCACTTTCGGAGCCCAGCTCTTGGAGAGAAGCCCACACGCACCAGCCCTGCTGCCTCCTCCCGTGCTCTGCTCGCTTCCCCGCAGCACAGCACATGGGTCCTTCTCCCGCGACCTGCACAGCTGGGCTGCTGCCTCCACGTTTCATTCTCTGAGAAGCAACCAGAGATGCGGGAGCTGCTAGAGTTCCCTCGGGGACTCGACCTGTGGGTCGTGAGCTCCACAGGTGTTGGGCCAAAAGGAGCTGGAATCTAACTCCCTCCTTTACCCGACAGACAACTCAAACCTCCAGCAGTAAGAATACTGTTCACCCCTGCCCCCACCTTTAAAAAGTGAGGGGTACGGGTGGGGGGGGTGGGGGCCTTTTTGCTCCTTCACTCGAACACTTAGAAGCAGGAATAACCAAGTCTCTTCAAGTTCTACTGAAAGATGAATATGTACTTAGTCACCTGTCTATTTTTAACATGTCCATTTTGTAGTAAAATGTGTCGCACATTCCTGTACTTAAACTAAATAACTGAGTAACTCACTCACACCTCTTTCATAATAAAACACAGTAACTGTTACTCATGAGTAGAAATGCCACGTGACATTGGTTCTAATATTACAAACAGTCAATCCACTTCCCTTTAAAAACAGACGAGACCCTTGGCAGACACACCGGCAGGAGCATAATTTTATGGAATCACCTCATGCAATAAACCTCTAGAACCACATCAAAACTGGCTCGCTTCCCTTTCAAAAGAAATTAAAATTTGCGTTTGAATCATAGAGTTCGCTCTCTCTCATTCGTCAGCGCTAAGCCGTGGACTCTGAAGACGGCCATTTCCCCCCGAAGTTTCACAGCTTCCGACTCACGACAGCTACGCCCTCCGCTGGCAACGCACACGGCACGGACACGCCGACGACCTTGAGCAGCGCCGCTTCGCTCTCCACAGAACATGTGTCTTCGGTGTTTCATTAGCCAACAAATTAACTCCAAGTGCAGACGAGGAAAAGAATACGAGTAATTCAGATTACTATCCCCACCAGAACGCTAACTGCAAACGCCGCCTATTTTCCTCTCGCGTGTCCCCAGCCCTGACTGCAGCGTGAAACTCCGCCTCCCGGGGCAGACGGCACTGAGCGGCCCCAAGGCGGAGGGCTTTGCTCAGGGCACCCACAGGTCCAAACTGGAAATGACTGAGATCCAAATGCAGGTCCCTTAGCTCACATTCTGGCCGTTTAAGGCGTTTCCTTTTTTAATGACTGTGGCTATAAAGGAAAGCTGACCATCGTAACCCTTTGTAAGTGCACAGCTCAGTAGTGTGGGATTTCAGATGAGCGAGGTGACGTTCACACACCCTAAATGTGAGTGGAACAGGGGAGGGTGAAGGGGCTCCACTGAGAAACATGGGACAACTTGCGCCTCAAACGCTTTCAGAGGAATAACGGTGTAACCTGCCACTAAGGGCCCACACGTCCACACGTGCCCACATTTATGGGGAGGGACTGTTCCTCCCACAGTACGCAGGAAGCTGGAAGCGCAGGAGGAAAGCTGGGACCAGACAAACCACGCTCAGGGCAGCGATCGTGGCTCAGGAACAGACGCTAAGCCTCGGGGTGAAAGTACGACGGGAAACAGGAGCCCCACTGCCTCATGCATCCCGCGTCACGGCTCCACGTTATCTCCCTGCAAATCCGTTTGTAAACACGGCTGCAACCTGACAGCGAGAACCGCCCTGGTCACCCCGAGCGCACACCGTCTCCCCCGACTCCCACAGGCAGCCCTGGCGCTGCGCTGCAGCTGAAGTAAACGTCCGAGCAGAAGCAGCCAGGCCGAGGACACGCTCCCCAAGCTGAGCATCGCGAGCCACGCCGGCTCCGGGAACGCGTCCGAGGTTCTCCCCCCACAGCGTTTATCTCACGTGCCCACGGGACGCCTTTCCCATGGCTGCGCAGGGAGGTAAGGGGTGTGTGCCCGTGCGTGTGTGTCTGTGTGTGTCTGTGTCTGTCCGTGTCTGTTGTGTGTCTGTGTCTGTTTGTGTCTCTGTGCCTGTGCCTGTCTGTGTCTGTATGTCTGTCTCTGTATGTGTCTGTGTGTCTGTCTGTATGTGTCTGTCTGTCTGTGCCTGTGTGTGTGTCTCTGTGTGTGCCGGTGCCTGTCTGTGTGTGTGTATGTCTGTCTCCGTATGTGTCTGTGTGTATGTCTGTATGTGTCTGTGTGTGTCTGTGTCTGTCCGGGTCTGTTGTGTGTCTGTGTCTGTTTGTGTCTCTGTGCCTGTGCCTGTCTGTGTGTCTCTGTGTCTGTGCCTGTATGTCTGTCTCTGTATGTGTCTGTGTGTCTGTCTGTATGTGTCTGTCTGTCTGTGCCTGTGTGTGTGTCTCTGTGTGTGCCGGTGCCTGTCTGTGTGTGTGTATGTCTGTCTCCGTATGTGTCTGTGTGTATGTCTGTGTGTGTCTGTGTGTGTCTGTGTCTGTCCGGGTCTGTTGTGTGTCTGTGTCTGTTTGTGTCTCTGTGCCTGTGCCTGTCTGTGTGTCTCTGTGTCTGTGCCTGTATGTCTGTCTCTGTATGTGTCTGTGTGTCTGTCTGTATGTGTCTGTCTGTCTGTGCCTGTGTGTGTGTCTCTGTGTGTGCCGGTGCCTGTCTGTGTGTGTGTATGTCTGTCTCCGTATGTGTCTGTGTGTATGTCTGTGTGTGTCTGTGTGTGTCTGTGTCTGTCCGG